CGGGGAGGCGCCGCCCGCGGCCGGCAGAGCGTCCAGCCTGAGACCGCGCCGGCGGGGCTGCGTCCGCTGGGGCCAGCCCGCCGAGTGCCGGGGAGCTGGGAGAGGGCGGCTCATTTAAAATGGACGCCTTCAAAACTGTTCCAGATTTAAGGTAAGCCTAAAACTGAGGCCGTTCATTCCTTTAAAGGCCTTCGATTTCTCCTCAGAAAACTGTTAGGATGGTGGAAAAACAAACATCCTGCCACAATACTAAGCAACCGTTTAAAGTATTTCCTAAACCTATGTTCCTATGTTAGACTCAAGTGAAAAAAATTTAAGATACAGTATGGTCCCAATTTTGTTATATATAATGGTGCTGGGATTGTAGGCGATTTTCATTCCCTTCTGTATTTTTCCAAGTTTCCTACAGCAAAGTGTTACTTTAATAATCTGTGGGAAAAAAAAATTACGACTCTCTCATAGACCGGAGAACCAATACAGTAACAACTCTCCCCAGGAACTACACTTTATTTATAATCTCAATACAATATACACATTCTATATCACGATATACAGTTTTGCTTCAGAAGTAAACCTGCATACTTCCTAACTTTATTCTAAAATTCCAGACGGATAAAATAAACCATGAATTCTTTTTTATAACCTCCAAAGAGGAAGGCCTTTCTAAATGAAACAAAATCTAAAAGCCAAGAATCGACCGCTCAATTGATACACATCTTTTAAAGGGTCTTCATGGCAACAGACATATAAAGTCGAGAGATAAACAGGAGAAGTATTTTAAATTCATCTCAAGAAGATGCCCAACTTCAATTTTATGTTATTGCAAAATAACAAACATGCAAATTTAAACTATAAGGTACAATCTTTCCTTCAGATTGGCAAAAATCAAAGGAGTTTGATGAGGCGCTGTGTTGGTGACGTTGTGGGGACACTCTCTCACGTTCCCTGTGGGTGGGAATATAAACTGGGACAACCTCCATGAAGGGCAAAAGAGCAATTTGGCAGAAATTTTCAAGACTGAAATTGAAAACTAGCAAGATTGCCAGGATAGGCTGCCAAGTCCTACTATTTGTATGTGTCCGTTTAAAGCATATATATACATGTATATGACTGTATAGGAAATCTTGCATAGCAAATCTCTGGAAGGATATACAAGTAACTGGTAGTAGTAGATGCCTTTTTAGGGGAAAACTGGGTGTCTGGAAGTAGGGAAGGGTAAGAGAGATTTATGCCTTTTTATAACTTTTGAATTTTGTACCATATTTTACCTATTCAAAATTATGAAACTTTTCAAAAGTGAACTTGCAGGCTAATAACGTTTTTCCAAAGCTGACTCTTCAAGATATGAAGCGTACAGTCAGCACAGTATAAGGCAACCTGGAAAATGTCCTTTGCAAACATTTAAACAAAGTAAGTGGTTAATAACCTATGTTGGTTTCTACCATCTCTTGAAATCTAATTTCTTTTTTTGTGTGTGTGAGGAAGATCAGCCCTGAGCTAACATCCATGCCAATCCTCCTCTTTTTGCTGAGGAAGACTGGCCCTGAGCTAACATCTATTGCCAATCCTCCTCCTTTTTTTCCCCTTTTTCTCCCCAAAGCCCCAGTAGATAGTTGTATGTCATAGCTGCACATCCTTCTAGTTGCTGTATGTGGGACGCGGCCTCAGCATGGCCGGACAAGCGGTGTGTCGGTGCGCACCCGGGATCGGAACCCGGGCGGCCAGCGGCGGAGCACGGGCACTTAACTGCTAAGCCACAGGGCCCGCCTCGAAATCTAGTTTCTTTTATTTATTTATTTATTTTTTTGTGAGGAAGATCAGCCCTGAGCTAACATCTGTGCTAATCCTCCTCTTTTTGCTGAGGAAGACCGGCTCTGAGCTAACATCTATTGCCAGTCCTCCTCCTTTTTTTTTCCCCCAAAGCCCCAGTAGATAGTTGTATGTCATAGCTGCACATCCTTCTAGTTGCTGTATGTGGGACGCGGCCTCAGCATGGTCGGTGAAGCAGTGTGTCGGTGCCCAGTAGATAGTTGTATGTCATAGCTGCACATCCTTCTAGTTGCTGTATGTGGGATGCGGCCTCAGCATGGTCGGCGAAGCAGTGTGTTGGTGCGCGCCCGGGATCCGAACCCGGGCCGCCAGTAGCGGAGCACACACACTTAACCGCTAAGCCACGGGGCCGGCCCTCTAATTTCTTTTAACAAACCCAAATAAAACTGGAAGTAGCTAGACAGAAGTGGGGAGAGGTTTTCGCTCCAAGTCCAAACTTGAAATTCAATTTCCTAGGGAATATTTTATATATTATGGGGGGAAGGGGTAGATCACTGATTTTTGATGTCCAATTATCTCTGCACAATATATTCTCAACATTCTGTTGTTACAAAGCATTGCTATAAACTATTACAGAAGCTAGAGTGCTGGGATGAGAGCTATTTATTAGAAACCTGGAGCTAGAAATGGGGTTCTTTACAACATTTTGCTTAAAGGTTCATAAGTAAACATATAATCCTATTGTAAACCCACGTATCCTCCCTTTAATGTGTTTGTTGTCAAAAACAGAAAACTGAAGTATTGAGATAATAAACCTTCTTGCCTATATATGCCTGTCACATAATGTCACCACTCCTGCTTCTTTGACTAATATGATACAGTAGAAGGAAATGAAATCTCATGATTTTAAATGTTGAAAAAACATTCAAAATCCATCCTTATGCCAAATTTGTCTGCAGTCAAACTTGACTTTTGGGCCTCAAAATTGCTACTTCTTCCTTTAATAAATATTTGTTGAATGAATGAAAAACATTTTCCTGCATAACAACTGTAGATATTTGGGGGATAATTAATCATAAAACAGAGAGGGGTATGTTCGAAACCAATTGAGAAATATATGTAGGAGTCAAGTGGCAATGATAACACAGTATCTACTTTTTAATAGAAAAGATTAAAAGAACTCTACTTGGATCTGAAGTCACAGTGGGCTTTCTACTATTTCCCTTTCCCCCTAGAACTGCACTGACTTCACAGGTCCTGGCAGAGCAAGTGGAGAAACGCCAGGATCCCCTGCAGGATGGGGAAGCCTACCCTTGGTGAGCTCACCACAAGAGAAGCAGAAAGGAAAATGCACATCCCTAGGGAGCAAGAGAGAACAGGCAAAAAAACAGGCTCCACTCAAACACTGACTGTCCCTCAGAGAGAGGGCCAACAGACACCAGGCTCTCATCTGTATTAGTCACTCATTTTTTAAGGGAAGGAGTGATGAAGGGAAGCAGAGGAAGAAATGTTCATAAAAGTACTGATTTAAAAAAAGCAGCATTGGGCCGGCCCCATGGCTTGGCGGTTGGGTGCACGCGCTCCACTGCTGGCGGCCCGGGTTCAGATCCTGGGCCCGTACTGACTCACTGCTTCTCCGGCCATGCTGAGGCCGCGTCCCGCATACAGCAACTGGAAGGACGTGCAGCTATGACATACAACTATCTACTGGGGCTTTGGGGAAAAAAATAAATAAATAAATAAAATTATTAAAAAAAGCAGCATTAGCCCCCTAAAACAACAGTGACAGCTAACAATTATTCCGAGTTTAGTGCCAGGTACCGTATAAATCTCATTACAACCTACGAAGTAGATACTACTACTACTACTACCACCAATATTTTCCAGGAAAGGAAACCTAACCTTAAAGACGCAAAAGTGACTAAGCGGAGCAGAGTCGCAAAGCTTCTTGCAAAGTAGCAGAATTAGGATTTGAACACAGGCTATTTGATTGAAGCCTGAGGTCTTTAAATCCCTGCCTTAGAGACTTGCCTTAATATAAAGCAAGAGTAATTAAAACAATATGATTTTAGCACAGCAATATACAAATATGGACCCAGCATATATGAAAATTCAGTGTATGAAAAAACTGATATTTCAAATCAGGAACAAAGAAGGCCTTAATCAATAAGGGACAAATGTCTACATGTATGAAAAGAAAATGAGGTTCCAATCTCACATACTATATAAAACAAACAGTAGATAAAATAATTTTTTAAAGGCTGTCAGATAACTATAAAAATTACAGTGAATAATTTTACAATTTAACATGGAGTATTTTTAAGCATGACATGAAACTCAAGCCATAAAGGGAAAAACAAACTTAGGGGAAAATATATAATAAAGAGTTAATCATCACAACAGATAAAAAATATCCACACAGTAATATAACAACCAATTAAAGATAAAATCTATAAAGGCTATGAACAGTAGAAAGGATTAATGAAACAAAGAGTTGGTTCTTTGAGAAGATAAACAAAATCGACAAACCCTTAGCCAGGCTTACTAAGAAAAAAAGAGAAAAGAATCAAGTAAATAAAATTAGAAATGAAAGAGGAGAAATTACAA